TCAGCTGGTAGCACAGAGGTAGATTGAAGACTGACTAATTATTTCTTCTTTTTTTTTGTGAGGGCATCCAGTATGTGTACTGGCAAGGCAGCCTAGGAAAAAACATTTGTTTTGTAGGCAAAGGAAAAACGTAGTACAAGATTGGATTCAGTTTGCAGAGGCCTTTGAAGAGGAGGAAATGCTAAAATGGCCAGAGGGAAGCAGAGTCTCTTGGGCTTTGAGTAGGTAACAGTGCTGGGAACCTGAAGTAAAATGAGGGCAGGTTTTCTGCAGGATAGTTGAAGAGTCTGAACTTGGACCTCCCAAAGATGAGGCTCTGGAAAAATACCATAGCATGGAGATCAATGCATAAATCTTGATTGCAGAAGGAATAATAGGAGCAGGCTTTTTTCTTGTTGAATGCTCTTTGGCTTGCTTTGACCATCTATGAAGGACACTGCAGGGTAGGTGAGAAGGTGAAATTAGGCCTGACAAGGAATTGTTACTTTATGTATTTGCTTCTTTTCTGTGCTTGTAATTCTTTTTCAGGTGCATTGTCACTTGGGCCCAGGTCACTGCAGGTAGACTGAGGCAGCATGAAGCCCTCTCTTACTTCAGAAGAGTCAGAGAGCACCGTCTTCTGGTTGTGAGCTTTACAAAGTGGAGGGACAAACTCTTTAGAGCTGAACAAGTGCCAGGAGGGAGAAACCACAAGAGGCAGGAGCCCTCTCCAGGTAAAGCCTGTCACCGCTGGCGAGTGGCTGCAAGAGGACAGCAAGCCCTGCGCCTGGGATCCGTGGCTACTGTCAAACAAGTAAGAAAAGATACAGGTCCCTATGAGACAGTTATTATTAACTCAGTGAGTCACGAGGCACTGAGATAGTGTGACAAGGCTTGTATAAAAACCTGGTTTGATTTGTGGTGACTGCTTAGTTCCTGCTGTGAAATTCTTCACAGACTGCGCACACAACTTCATCACCATAATCTGGCACTGATTGCAACAACCATATGGAGCACAGCAATAAGGAAAAGGGACATTTTGACCAGAGAGATGAGAGCACTCCTTCCTCTCTGCTCAAAGATAAGATGGGATAATCACTGTCCCTGCAGAGCAGAGTGAGCTGTCAGAGTTGCAGCTTTTTTCAAAAGATTCACAGCTAGCAAACTACAAAGAGGTCGATTGATTTGGAAGGGCTGAGTCAGTCCTGCTGAGATCTCATCTGTGCAGTTTCCAGCCTGGGGTCTAGCACATTAAGCTACCTGCAGAGCTGTGAGCCTGTCTCTCTAAGACTGATTTGTGTGAGTGCTGTGTGCATTGTGTTTACTCTTGGCTGCAGCTGTGTTATTTCTGTTTGCAGGCCTGCAACTACTGGACGAGAGCAGCTGCCTTTTCGCAGTGCTTACGGCAGCGCAGTACCCTCATAGGTGTTTGGAAGAGCAGGAAGATGGCTCTCTCTTGGCCCACGAGTAAGAAGATTCTCCCTCCTCTCTTCCTTTCACAGACCCATGTGGGGAGTGTGGGTGATGAGGGAAGGGGATTAGGGTTTACCAGCTTAATGACTGGAATTCCTCTGTGGAATAGGAGCTCATGGCAATCAAACACAGTGGATTTCTTCTGTGTTCATGAGTTGAAGGACTAAGGGCTCATGGCAGCTTTGATGTCTCCCTCTCTAGCTCCAAGGTTAGCTCCTATGTGATTCCTCTTTTGTTTCTTAGAAAGCAGCAGAGGCAGAGAAGAAGATTCAGCAACAACTGGACTTTTCCCCAGTGCCATTCAGCGCTGGCTGGTGATCTACAGGAGCCAAAAGAGGTCTGGAAGGCTGCTGGAGAGACCTGATGTGGTAGGACCCTCTCGTGCACATGGCAGGATCCAGGGGAACACAGCAGAGGTGGACTTGGAGGATTGGGCTAAGAGGTGTCTCGGGTAAGTGGAGGGCTCTGAGCTTCCTCTTGCTGATACCATCAGGGAAGGGCTCCCTTGTATGGCTGGTAAAACTCATTTGCTTCTTTTGCCTGCAGGAGGAAATATCTGAGGTGGTGGCATCACACAGTGGTACTGCGCCAGTACCAGCATGACAGGAAACTGCTCTGTCTGGCAAGGGGATGGCATCAGTGGAGGGAAGCCAGCAGGGTGGTGATACTGGCTCAGGTGTTGGTGAGTGTCTGGGGCCACTGGGGTGGCAGTGATGGGTGTTAATGGGCAAGCCTGCTCTGCCTGTAGCCCCACATACATCCTAAGAGATGAGACCTGGGGGTTTAACAAGTCAGATCCTGGTTTAGTGCTGTGGCTAGTTTTTCCATTGTTCTTTTTGAAATGTCAGCTTGACAAACTGGCATATCCACAGATTTAGCTGTGCTTTGCCCTTACAGATGGGAAGCTGAAACAGGATTTGTCTAGATTGTCTGTAGACTGTGGAAAAAGTTCACAGCAATTATTACAATCTTTGTCCTCATCTGTGTGCCTGATGCATCCCACTGATGTCCACATCTTACCAAGAGCTGTCATTTTTACTTTCCTTTCTGCTCATACTCATTTCGGCCTGGTTCCTGGGCATTAGCTGTGTGAGATGTGCTCTGGCCTGCCCTGGTAACAAGATAATGCCTGTATAGTGTGAGGATATCTGTAGTCACAGAGGAGCTGTGCTGGAGCAGAGTCGGGCACTGTCCTCTCCCCAGGGTACTGGGACTTAGCCACACTGTGCTGGAGAGAGTAGTTCAGCAAGAGCTCTGTTACCAGTGCAAAGTCTTTTAAGAGGGACTCAGGAAAGCAACTGGAACAAGGTGTGACTGGAGGGAAGTGAGGTAGTTTGCCTGCCAGAACCCAGTTAATCTGTGTGCTGCCTCTCTTCCTGGCAGGACCAGCAACGGCTGATAGAAAAGGCCTGGAGGGTGTGGAGACAAAGATATTTGCAAAGCTGTGTGGTGCAGAATCTTTTGGAGGAGGAAGCCAGGAGCCTCTTGTGTCAGGTAAGCATTTATGCCTTCTTCAATTCAGTGGTACAAAAAAGCACCCCCAAGGGACAACTGGTGCCCCCTGTATCTCTCTCCCTGCACATGCACTTGCTCAGGGAGAATTTGAATACATCAAGGAATGGGACTTGCCAGTAAAAAAGGAAAAAAGCTTCCAGCTTTACATGGGTTCATCTATGGGTGTTTTTCAAAGCTTTGTGTCAGGAGTCAATTTCCCTGACGTGTGCCCCCTTCTCTGCTGTTATTAGTGATGTTAATCCCCTAATCCCTGTCTCTTGAGACCCCATTCAGGGAAGAAACAGGCTCCACATTGGTGCAGGAGGACTGTGCTGACTTGCACCCAGGGGCAAGCAAATCACTATGAATTTGAGTAAGCAGGCAAAGCCTTAGAACTCATACCCAGTTTGCTCCCCTGCCTGCCTCCCAAAGATTGATGTAGGATTAGGTCCTGCTTTAAGGAGGTACTGAAATTAGAGGGTCTTTCTGGTCTTTCTTCTCCCACATTGATTTGTACTCTGCATGCCCTATATTGGCTCCAGGAGAGACAGGGAAGGGTTTTGAGTGAAGGGTGAGGCAGCTGGCAGAGCCATAGCTAGAAGAAAAACTACGTTTACTAGAAGGAAAGCTATGTTTACAGGTTCTGTGAGAATGGCTGCAGCCCCTCAGGGGTAACCCAAGTGTTTGATTTGTCCACTTTTCTCTTTCAGGCCTTTGGAAGGTGGCGGCAGCTCACAGCATTCCAGCGCAAGGACAAAGGATCCTGCTGAATGGAGGGGGCCTGCCTGCAGCTGCTGCTCATTTCAGAACACGTGGAGGATATGGCTCCTGTCACAACAAAGAGCTGGTCCTGTGCCATCAAGAGAGAGAACACTCTGCTCTTACAATAAAAGCAGCACTGCTGGCCAGAAGGATGACAGCCAAAGAACAACCAGGAAGAGATGGTACCTAGTGAAAGGTCCTCTTGAAAGGACTTCTATCTGCTTAGCAGCACAAATGGAAAAGTTACTCACAGTTGTGAGGTTGCATTCTCTTCTTCTCTGGACCCTGCTTTTGCTGGAGTTCTGATTAAAGGTCAAAAAAACCCACCTTACAGACGTTCCTTTTACTCGGTGTTTTTTCCCCCCTGGACAGGAGTTTGGTGTCAAGGGGGAGTATGCAAATAGGGTCTTAGAGATGGGCAGGAGTTTGTGGGTGCTGGATCCTGTTGATTCTGAAGTCAGCACCTGGGTAGGTGCAAACACAGGTCTTTATTTTTATTATTTTTAGATTTGGCTTTTACCCTGGTGGGGGTGGAATTTTCCACCAGGCACCAACCTCCTCCCCCTGTCTAGGTCCATCAGCTCTTCATTAAGCTTTTCAGTGGGTGGCCAACCTCCTGACTGCTTCCTGCTGGTTCATTTCTGTGCTGAATGGGCAAGGTATGAAGAAACCTGCTGGGAACAGCTGAGCACCAAAAGCGTTGCTGAGGCAAGACAGGCGTGTCTGATCCCCAGCCTTCCCATTACTTGCCTCTGTGATTGATGCCTTGTAATTACCCTGGATATATGAGCCCGGTCTCAGACAGCTGTAACAAGAGGGTCTGAAGAATCTGGACAAGGCTTTTCTTCCTTCGTGTTTGAAAGAGATGCTCACAGCATGGTGGGGATCTTGAAATCCCACTGGGAACTGCTCCGGGGTCATTTTCCTAGCCTGTGGCAGCTTTGCAGGATTGTTAAGTACACAAAGCAGTCTCAGTAGCTTTCCCAACCCCTTATTCCAATGCCATGGGGCCTAAGGTTGTTAAGAGTCATTAGGTCAGGAAAGAGAGGTTATCTTTCCTGATCTAAGCTTATCTTTCCCTACAGGCACGGGAAAAGAATACATGACCTTGCAGAATTGAGCTAAATAGCTTAAATCCTAGAATTTACCAAAAGTAAACAGCTACACTTTCTCCACTCTACCATGGAGCTTGGGCCATACTCAGGATATGCATTGAAAGTGAGGGCAGAACTGCCCCAGAAACAAAATCAATTCCCTTGTGCCAGGTGATTAATTAGTAAACACCACCAGTCTCTGCTAAAGCATGGCCTAGTACAAGAGACATTTGCATTTTATTGTATATTATCTAGGAAATACTGTCATTCCTACTTAGTGTTATCCAGAATGGGAATTCCCATAGTCCTATTAAAAAGAAAACAGGAAATACAATACAAGGAGAAAAGTTAGGAAGAGAATTTGAACCTTCTTCTGGAGTGAGTGCAAATGTGCCAGATGATCAACTATGAAGAAATACAGTTTAGGAGTGCAATATAAAAGCAATTTGACCTTCTTTTCCAGGTTGGTAACTGCTGATATAATCCCCTTGCATAGGTACAGCTGACAGGAGTGTTTCAGTCCCCCTGCCAGCATTTCTGGCATGGGAAAGTTACCAGAATCTGTTACTGTAATTGGCATAACCATGAGTAGCAGCTCTTCATCCTGCAGACCCTGGCCTTTGGGCTTAGTCTGGAGCCTGAGCTCAGAGGTTCAGGTAGTTCTGGCTGTTCAGTGAGAATGGCTCAGGGAGCCTTTGTGTTGGGGACAGAAGAGCACAGTGTGGGTGGATCAGAGCAGCACCCTGCTCATGGGGTTAGGAGTGTGTCCATTGTCAGCACAGGAGCTGCTGCTTTCCCCAAAGTCAGTGGACGGAAGGAGGAAGAGATCAGAAGAATTTTCACTGCTGAGTTGGAGAGTTCAACAGCTCAAATGTATCCTCCACAACCTGCCAGAGGCAGTTCTCTAGTGGGAAGTCATTGTCCACCAGGTTGACCAAGTAATAGTTGTCATGGATGTACTGGATGATCATGCGAGAGGGTGACTCCTCTTCATAGAGCTTGGCCCATTGCTCAATCCACAGCGCAAAGGCCTCGTCCTGCCACGGGAATAAAAAAAGATTTGTCACTTGTGAAACATCTCCATGTTACTTAATTTAAGATACCCAGTGTTACACACGTCTGGCTAAACTGTGGCTTGTTTCTTCTCAGTAAAAATGGCAAGAGTTGAACAAGGAGCTTTGTACTTTCCAGTCAGTGGGAAGTACCCAGAGCTGAAAGGAGACACATTTGCAGTACAATGGATGGCTCAATGCTGCCCCTGTGTGTGTAAGAGGGGAGGAAGAGCCACTGTCCAGCACCCTGAGGCCTGGTGCAGTGACAGCAGTGGCTCCAGATCCCAATTACTGGGTGCTTTGTGTCTGGGAACAGCTCTTGCTGGAGCTGAAGCAGGAGGAGCAAGACCTGTACCTCTGCAAACCAACAGCCCTCAGCTGTGAGGAGTGTCAGAGACTAAAACTAAACCAGACATTCTCAACTTCCAGGGCATCACAGCAATGTATCCAACAGAAGGGAGGACTCACCTTCCAGGAGAGGAAGCTTACAGGATCCACCACAGTGGGCTGGATGATCTCCCTTCCTGGAAAGATACCCCAGGTGACAGCATTGGGTTGCAGATCTGGAGCATTGGTGATATTCTGGCCCTGCCAAAGGAAGGAAAAACCTTTCTGAAGCAAGTGCTGGAGGAGGAACTGAGTGAGTTGGAAGAAGTGTATTTACCCCCTCCTTGTTAAGGGACCAGACAGCTGCTGCACACCGCAGCTGACCTGCTTTACTTTCCCTTCCCTTCTTCAGCCCTCATGTCTGAATATTTGGTATTTCTCTTTCCCAGGGTGGTGAAAAGAGTGTCCTGTGAATAACAGCTGTACCTTGACATTGACAATGTGGTAGTTCACTCGTAACTCGTACTTCTTCAGCACTTTGAGCAGTGCCGTGACAATTTCGCTGGAGGTGAAGAACTCCAGGTACGCCTGCAGGGAGGGATGGAGAAGGGGGAAGAGAATCAGGGCCTTAAATCACAGCAAAACTGGACAAACACAGGTAAACTGTGACATTTGTAGAGTCTGGGCTGCTTTGTATGTTCATCCCCAGAGACATGTACTACAGAGGCTTGAGCAAAGGGCAGAGCAAATTAGTAAGTGAGCTAGGGAAAAACATAACTGAGGAGAACAGCCCAGGAACAGTGCACTCAAGAAAGCTACACGCTTCCTGTTTTGCATCCACACAAGTAGACAAGTTGGAATGAACTCCAGTATTACCACAACTGCTGCACAAGGAAGCAGTCTGCCAGAATGCTTGGAAGAAGCCTGAGCTTAATCTTTATTTTACAGCAGTGTCTTGCCAAGGCAGCCCAGCCTGGTGAGAGCAGAACTCGGGGGTCTCAGCTGGGCTCTCCCAAGCACCACTCCCTGTCCTTGTCTTTTGTTCACAATTCTCCCCATGTGCTTATACAGCCAAATTCTGTGCTTGGCTGCTCCCAACAACTGCTTCCCCTCCCCCCATTTCCTGGCTATTTCGTGAGATGATGGATTTCCCTCACCTCAGGGGAATTTTTTCCTTTGAAAACATAACTGCATTTGCCATCTGCTGGTCTCTGGCTTTACCGTTTGGATCCCTTTTGAACAAGGATGCTTTGTTTTCCGGTATGAGTTACTTGCCTGACATCTACTTTGATGGGATATTCCTGTCACAGTCATTAGGCAAGGCTCTAGTGCCTGAAATACCTGACAGGGGAGACAGGCATGGCAGGCATGACTGTTTGCAGGCCAGGGAAGGAAAGGAACATTATTTGAACAGCACAGTGCATGGGCCAGGGGTAACTGTAGAGAACTCTGCCATACAGAAGGACAGAGGAAGTTTTTAAATACCCCTTTGTCACCATGAACTTGCTGGGTAGTAGGGATACTGCCTCACTGGTTCCCATTTTGTGAAAAACCTGGATGTTTTGTGCATCACTGAATTGGGGGCAGGCACATGTGTATATATAAAATCTCACAGCCCTGCTCTAGAAATAAATTACCAATAGTTACTTGCTGAGAATAACACTGTGAAACTCCACAGATGTTCAATAGATGTTTTGAGGTGGGGAAAAACAGCTGTGAAGTCAGCCATAGAGATGGAATTATGGCTCTTAAGACAGCAAAGGAGCTTTGCCTTATCTCACCAAGAACTCATTATGATAAGGCAAGAGCAGGATTATGTGGATGTGAGCCTGGGACCTCCCAGCCTAACACAAACCAAACTAGGTCAAACTTTGCTGCCTAGCCCAGAGTAATACAGTACCTTTTGGAAAACATAACCTCCACTGGGCCCCCAGCCTACAATGGGGTCTGTGGATGGTTTGCCATTGATGTTTGGCTGGGAGTTGATGGTCAGGATTCCTCGTCTGTTGACCTTCTCCAGTTGGTCCTTCAGAAGGTTGGTTTCAGTAGCAAGAGGGTCATCGTTCCAAGGCATACATGTAACCTACCATGAGGAGAAAGGATGGCTCACAATGGATGTAACAACCCTTTGATTAACCATCTAGGTGTTGAAGGAATTCAGCAGTGCCTTAGTAGGCTCAAACACACCTGCTTCAGGAGAGAATTCCCAAGTTTGGTTCAAGGGTTAGGATATGCACAACTGTAAGAATGACTGCTGAAGTCAATCAGTACTGGTCTTGTCATACTGTAGTACCTTTCCTTTTATGTTGAGCCTTAGCTCTGGCTGCTGGACCCCCTTCAACCAGTGTGCCAACAAATCCTTTTGGACAAAGTGCCAATTCTTCTTTAGAAGAACAATGTGGTACCAGGAGCAAGAGGAAACATGCACTATTGCTTGTGCTACACTGGCCATCCTTTCCTGGGCTCTTACTCACCTTGTACCCATTCCTGTTGGGTTCTCCAGTGATGTAACATGTGAACACCTCAAAGACACTTTCCTCACCAGTCAGTTCTTCTCCCCACATCTTCAGAAGCTCCTCCCGGGGAGACTTGCTCTTCAGGTAGAAGAGGTAATAGTCCTTCAGTTCCCCAAAAGCTGGAGAGGAGGAGTTACCCCTGTAAGGGTAGAAGACACACACCTGAAGTCACTGAGGAAGATGAGCTGATTTGGTGATGCAGGAAGACAGCCAACTAGCACTAGAAGTACACAACAAAACCCACCTAGACACCAAAAGTCTCAACATCTTGGTGCCATTCGCCTCACCTCACTCAAATGCAAGCAACAGGGAAGCACTTTGTTACAAAGCCACCTCAAGTGTGCCCAGGACATCAGGCTTTCTTACCACAGCTCTGCCTTACTGCAGTGACAGCTTACCATCGCCCATTGGGGAAGTCATCCCACTCCTGGGTTCGATAGATGTAACTCTTTGGCCTGGAGGCCCAGAAGATTGGCCTGACATCTTCCACTCTTCTCTTGGGGTGAGCACTGACTGCCCAGGGCAGAGGGCGCCTGCATGGGATGAGCAGATGTTAACACAGTTCCTCCGCTGACTTCCCACTAAAGGCTGGAAACCTTTCCCATGGTGCAATTTGCCCCTGGGGAAAAATAACAGGGGCTGAGAGGAGTTCTGTCTGTCAAGAAGTAGGACAGGAAACTCTTCTTCCTTTATGGAAAAAATTTCCTACTTAGTTCCTTCACAGGATGCTCAGGAGGGTCTATTTAACATTAAGGTACGGGACTAACCCCTGAAATTGGAAAAGGTAAGGGCAAAGCACTATGGGAAGTTATTTCAAGGGAAAATAAAAAACAGCTGTCAATTTTCCTTTGCTTCATCTCGTCTGTGGACTCAGAGAGAAGTCCACATTCCCTTTCTCAGCAGCAGAGAACCCTAGAAATACACAGTGGGAGCATACCCCTACCCCATAAGGGGTTGTGATGGGCATCAAAAACATGCTTCTTAAGTGGCAGCTCTAAGCTCTAGGTTTTTTAAGTCCCAAAATGGCTACTTTAAAGCTACTTGACTAAAACAAATTCCTCCCTTGGCTGTCTCCTCTATTCCTCCCAGCTTTTGCTGGAGATCTGTGGGAAGGGTGAACTTGCAATGCAAAAGGTGATAAAAGAAAAAAAGGAAAAAAAGGAAAAAAAGGAAAAAAAGAAAAAAAAGAAAAAAAAGAAAAAAAAGAAAAAAAAGAAAAAGAAAAAAAAGAAAAAAAAGAAAAAAAGGAAAAAAAGGAAAAAAAGGAAAAAAAGGAAAAAAAGGAAAAAAAGGAAAAAAAGGAAAAAAAGGAAAAAAAGGAAAAAAAGGAAAAAAAGGAAATACAGGGGATGGAGGGATGGAGGGATGGAGGGATGGAGGGATGGAGGGATGGAGGGATGGAGGGATGGAGGGATGGAGGGATGGAGGGATGGAGGGATGGAGGGATGGAGGGATCTAACAGCAGCCAACACATTCTGCTCACCTTGGATCCTCTTTCCATATGCCCAGGCGCTTCAGGACTTCAGTGGTAGCCACCTCCCGGTTGAGGGTGTAGAAATGGAGCCCATGCACCATTCCACTGTCCAGCAGCTCCCGGCACATGGACACTGCCAGCTCCACCCCATAGCTCCGGATAGCGGCGTCGTTGTCCTTGATGGGCTCAATCACATCTTTGATTTCCTGAGGCACTTCCAGCTTAGAGAGCTTCACCAGCTGGCGCAGGGAGTGGTAACCCTGCAATGAGGATGCAGATTGTCATTTTTCCAAGACCCCTTTTTGCCATCCCAGCAACACAGGTACTTGATCTCAATTTTGTGGCAGGAGATTTAGAATTTGGGCTCCTGGAATCTACTCCCTGGCCCCATCTCTGGGATTGTAACACAGTCCAGGTCATGTCACTTTAGGTGATTTCTCCCCACGTCCTTGCCTGAGCCCAGTATGCTGACAGTGACCTCAGGACTTGCAGACCATTGTCCTTTATATCCCGTTTTGCCATATGGGCACAAGAAACCTTTTCATAAAGCTGCCTAAGAATTTAATTTGGCAAAACACCTACAGCTTTATTACACTCAGCAGTCTCTCTTCCCTGCAATTTTGTGGAGGATATTTTACAGACCTCTCCCAGGCTCTGACCCACAAATACCAAACATCCTAGATCCTTATTCCCTCCCTAAATCCAAATTACTGGATTTCACCTGTATAGGGAAGATGCCAGGAATAATGGGGCAGGTAATGCCAATGGCTTGACAATCCTTCATGAACTTGAGGAAGGTTTCTGGACGGAAGAAAAGCTGTGTAATGATGAAGTCTGCTCCAGCAAAGACTTTCTCCTTCAGGTGCCTCAGGTCTGCCTCATAGCTCTCTGCTTCAGGATGACCCTTGGGGTAGCCTTCGGGAAGAAGGAATGAAAAATGTGGTCAGGACAACATGCAGGAATTATGAAGTATCCAATCTGATTGTACTGTCACAGCCCAGGTCCAGAGAGGGACTGCTGAGCTGATTTCTCTGTCTCAGACCCTAGCACACACTCTGTGACAGAAGGCATTTACCTGCCACACAGATGTCGAAGTAATCATCAAACTCATTGCGAATATGCTTAACCAGATCAACAGCGTAGTTGAAACCTTCTACTTCTTCCTCCCATTCCTCACCAGAAGGATCTGAAAAGAGAACAAATCCACAGTTCTCTCCAACTGTCTGCTGAACTCACATCTGCTAGTTCTGTAAAAACCTCCCAAATCTGCATTTCACCTATGGACTGGTTTTGTCTGCCCTTGAGCTGGAGGGACTGTTAACAAAGGGCTCAGGTGAAACACAGTCTTAGCATTTAATTTCTGCAGCAAGAGGCTCTAAACCTTCTCTGTTTTTACTCTGGAATGGAACACAACAGCAGCACAGCCTCACTACACATCACAGGACAGAAGGATTCACCTCCACGCAGCGCCATGATGTTCTTCAACCCAAGTCGCTTGGCCTTCTGCAGATGCCCTGTGATGTCATCCTTGGTCTGGTTGCAGCATGTCATGTGCAGGATGGTCTCCAGGCCACAGTAGTTCACTGCAGTGTTGGCAATAATCATGGAAGAGGTTTCCTTGTCAGATCCTGGGTCCCCTGCAGGGTGCCACGTCACATCAATGAAGAGGGGACCACCTGCTCCCATACGGTCAAACCTGCGGGGTTTAGAGCTGTGATAGCCTACACCAGGCAGCCAAATCTCCTCCCTGTGCCTCAAATACCTTGCTCACTGCTAGAATGCCAGCAGCAGCATAGACCATAAAAGTGTTGCACTAAGAGTTTAGCAAGTGGCCAATGGAAAAAAGGAAATGCACCCTTGAAGGCTCAGTGGGGAAGAGCTTACAGTTTCTTAGAAGATGAGGCAACTGAGGTGTTCTCTGCACAACAGACTTTCTCCCTGCATGCTGCAATAGACTGATAAAGCTTCTGACAGATAGCAATCCCATTCTTTTTGAGATGGGAGACTATGCTGCAGCACCCTGTTGCCAGTGTGAACTGTGGAGGCCACAAAAACAAAAAGATGGACCAGAACTCTGTTGTGTTCCTAAGTCTGCCTTAAAAAGGAGACAAGGGCTTCCCTAACTTGTCTCTCTCCTGTTCCAAGGTGTAACAGGTCCTTCTGCTTAACATATGGCATTGGCATATAACAATTACAAAAAGAATTATTTCCCCCAAGTAACTCCATGGTAGCTCCTGGGGTTCCAGAATAACTCCTAGCTCTGCTGAGACCTATCAGCTTTCATTTAGTATGTAGATGTGGACACCCATGCCAGAGGCTAAAACTGTAGTACTGAGGCACAAACCATAGTGGCTGGCTGAATATTGAAAGGAAATGGGAATCTGTTTCAGAGATTTTGCCACACTGTCCATCAAGGAATATTTTCTGCTTTTACCAGGTACTTTTCTGCCCAGCATTGTGCTTCAGACCCAGAATATGACATTGGGGCTACCCCATCTTCCCAGGGCATGGGAGAGGGGAAACAACCTGGCCCCTCAGTAATCCCACCGTGACACTTAACTCTTCAGGGCCTCCAAGGAAGACAAGTTACTTGGTGTCCATTACCCTCCTCAGCAGGAAAGCACAGCCCCATTACCTGCTTCATCATCACCTGGAAGGGGAGACAGAGCATGGGGCAGAGCCTGCCTCGTTAACTATTTCCCTGCCCTCCACCACAGATATTTCCCCTCTCCTACCCTGCAGCGCTCACCTGGAGATGAGATTGACAGCAGCATTGGCTGTGCGTGGAGGGAAGAACTCCAGGGAGAACCACTTGTCTCCAGCATCCTGCCGGCGGCGCATCTTCTCCCGCAGCCGCTCGTGTCGGTCAGCATCAAGGACGGGCGTCGAGCAGCGCGAGTTGTCCTTGGAGCTCTCGCTTCCGCTGCTGCTGCCGCCATCAGACCTGGAGCTGGAACTGGCACTGCAGGTATGCTGGGTCTCATTAACCATGGTGAGAGCTCTGGAGAGGGGAGCAGAAGGGGCACGGTCAGTACATGGGTCTCTGCACAGGGAAGGTATTGCTGGGGTGGGCAGCAGATGATTAAAGAAGCCTACACCAAGACCCAACATTCATCACCATCAAGGAGTCCCTTTTGCCAGCTTTCACTGTAAGCTTTAGTGGGGGATCTGGCCAAAACACAATAAAAAGTGTATGTGATACTCAGATACAGCTGAGAAGAATAACTTCATGCCACTTTGGTGCAGCTCTTCTCTGCTGGGTCAAATTTGGCTCTCAGAAGAATCAGGTCAACATACTTTGGCCCTGACTACAGCTCAGCAAGCCAGGATGTCCATGTGAATTAGGTGGTGGCCTCTGTCATCTTGTGGCCTTGGGCTGGGCATGCCAGCAGATTTTTTTTTTGCCTACTGCAGCCGCTTCTTAGACTGTATCCATCTTCAGAGTTTTCATCCTGTTTGCTCCCAAAAGGCAGCACTGCATTGCAGAGTAGTTAGGAAAGTCAGTGCTAATGGGTCAGGTACTCCAGAATGTTTCTGACATAGCAATACTTTGTGCAAAGTACAGAATCCCCTCTGACCAGGCCATCCCCACAAAGTGTCCTTTGTTTTCTTTGCTGGCATGACACCTGCATTTCCAACCATTAGCCTTCTCCACGAGACACACCATTTCCACAGACAACTGTCCCCTGTGCCAGTCCCATTGCACACACTCAACTAACTCTTTACCAGATACACTGTTCCCTTTGTCAGTAATTGTGGCTGCGTGGAAATAAGGCCAGCAGAGACCATCCTCCTCTTACTGCTTTGCAACAAGATCAGCTGTGTTTGCTTGGCTTTACAGAAAGCAAAACAGCACTGCAAAGTCAGTGCTACAAGCAGGTTTAGGAAACCCAACTCCACTTAGCTCCACAAAATGCCCCAACCTGTGCCTTTAAAATGAAGTAGGGATTAAAGACCGTTATGCAAGAGCTAGCACAAAATTTGGATCTGTGTTATTTGCTTTAGTACCTGCCAAAACTTAAAATTGTCACTGGGAAGCAGCATGTTGTCCAAGCATTACATAACTTGGGAGCCCGTTTTGGAGGAAGCGGTTGCATGAGCCAGCACACTTTCAGTCCTTATCATAAGCTCTGTGGGTTTAGTTCAGCCAAGAAGACTTTGAACTCATCTTCTACTGTTTACACTTGAGTTGCCAAGCAAAACCCTTTAGGAGAAAGTCTACTTTTACCACCTGAGGAAACTCTCCAGCTGGCAGGAGATGTGAGAAAGAAGCGCAGGCCTTCTGTTCCAAGAGGAAGTGGGAGCCTTAGATCTCTTGTGTACCAACATAGCAGCTGTGGTAAAAATCAGCAGCACAGACTTAATGACAAGTGAAGCAAACCCAAATGGGTGAACAGTCACAGCCTTGACCAAGCTCAAAGGACTTTGCCTAACACCCACATGGCACTAATCTGGGAGAATTATCCACAAGCACACATTGGTGATCAAGCTAGCGGCTCACAATCACATGCTGTCAACTCCCAGTATCTCATTCCTAGCAAGCATAGCACAGCACTGTAGGTAAATCAAAGGAGCTTTGTTTTCTGATTTGAGATTTAACACCCATCACATGGAAAAAGCGTTCACGTCTTTATGCCTCTATAAAATGAGACTTGATGTTGAGGAAAGGTCTGTATCTTACTAACAATATCAAATCACAAAGATATGAGAAAGGCTCACTTAGATTTTTGTCTACAGGCAGCATTTGAAACCATTTCCTTACCATGATATGCATCACAAATTTGCTGGCAGATACTTATTGCAAAGAGAAAAAAGATAAACCTAAACAACAAGAACAACAAAGTAAGACAATTTTAAACACCTGTCAACACTCCTGCTCCTGTCTGTATCACATTGCAGAGCTCAAAGATGCGTGGCTCAGCACATTGCTGATGCTCAGCATGGATTTACCTGCTGTGTCTTTATGATGCTGGTGGCATTCAAACTCCTTCCAGCCCCGAGCTGCCACCAACACACAGAGGGTGGGGTCTGCATCCCCCTAAGCTCAGTTTTACCCTCAAGACTAAACTGGGCTGCACCAGATGCACGTTTCTCACAGGCTGCTCCAGGGCCACGCTATCAGGAGGCTGAGCCCCGGGCCCGCGGGCCAGAACAGCTGAAGGGGCAGCGGCTCGGCCCCGGGACAGCCCGGGGGAAGGGCCGGAGGGAGCCCCACAGGCCGCCGGAGGAGAAGGGGAGCAGCAGCACCTATGGTCGCTAGTGCCGGGGGAGGCTCGGGGCCGGACACTGCAACTCGATCGCCCCTTCGCCTCAGCTGACCCCGCCGGGAGCACGGCCCGGCC